GAGAGTAGGTACATCAGTCTTAGGTTTGAGTCCTCCAAATAAGCATCCCCTGAGTGTCTTCTCACTGAGCAGTACTTCACCACAGTCAAGGCTCAACTTGGATCCTGGCTTGTCCAATCCTACAACTACCGTTTTTCCCCAAGCCTGTTGGCAAAGTAGCAGTTAACAACATTCAACAAGTTTTCATGATTTATTCTTCAAAACTATTACAAGTGTAAGTGCTACTTCTAGTGGATTTTCAAGTTATTTGGTACAAAAAAACACTATTACTAGTGCTACTTTTAGCTGAGTTTCAAGCTTTTTGCTAGAATGATTCTTGAAAATTATAATGCAGTTACTGCTTTTATCGCATATTTCTGTCTGCCTATAAACCATAGTGCAATGCATGATTGAGAATTAGATAGAGGGTGAGGGATAGAGAGATAAAAGGGGAGAGACCCTTCTACTAGAAGCGTATGCATCTTCCATCAGTGATGCCTTGCCAACACATTCGAAACAATAGTCTGCTCCCCCATCAGTCATCTCCATGATAATCTGCTAAACAACCACTCATGAGAGAAGGAAATTTCAAGACTTAAGGCTGTTGAATTAAACAAAGATTGGACCCAAGAAGAGGGTGGACCTGGCTCACAGTTTTGTCTTTGCTTTCTCCAGAATGGACAAAGTCAGTGACTCCAAACTTTTTTCCTGAGTAGATCAGAGAAACAAACTCAAAATCAGTTACATAATTTGATCACAACAATAACACAGAAAAACTTATCTAAACATTCTTATTAAGCACATCATAAAGCATTACCAACTTCATATTTCTCTGGGTTGATATCCACACCTATAATCTTAGTTGCTCCACAAATTCTAGCTCCCTCAGCAACCTACGAAACCATTCACTTGCAATGAGCTTTTCAGTACTATAAATAAACCACTAAACAAACAAAACAAATTTAAGTGGAATCCTTACAGCTAATCCAATACTTCCCAGCCCAAAAATGGCTACTGTAGAGCCTGGCTCCACACCTGCAGATTTCCAAGCAGCACCTACTCCTAAAAGTGGAAGTTTAATCAAAATATTGAATTAGATGAATGTTGTTAAAACCTTTATTTGTGACCAGATATTCTGACTATAATTTATATTATGTAACTGTTTAGGAAATTACCAGTTGATATTCCACAGCCAAGTAGGCATGCCAGCTTGGGTGGTATTGGTAGATCAACCTTGGTTAGATGGGCAGTGTCAATCACAGTGTACTCACTAAAACTAGAAACAAACATGAAATGCTGTATTATCTCTCCTTTTGAATCCTTGAATCTTGATGTGCCATCTCTAGGCATCCAAGGAGAGAACTGAAAAGGAAAATTTGAACAAAGATTGCTCCTGCTTGATTTGCAATCTAAACACTCCCCACAATCAGCTAAGAAAATTGGGACAACCAAATCTCCTTTTGCAAGTTCAGTTACACCCTCTCCAACACTTTCCACAACCCTGGATCATGTCAATAGTGGCTGGAACATCAGCATTCACTTCAATAGCATTAAATGAAACTTGCAGAACAGATAAAATGGTTCATGGTTGCAAAAATAAATATGATTAGTCATAGAATTTTTTCTTAAAGCAATGTTTATATTACTGCTGTTAAATCATGTGGAGAAATATTGCAGACATGCTTTGCTTTTTTATTGAATCCATACTAAAAATCTGAAAACTAAAATC